ATTTTTATGTAGTCAGAGGTACAATCTGGGGAATACTGAAGATCAAGGGCATCAAACTGCAGGAAAACCTGAAGAGAAAGGAAAAAAACCCACTTCAAATATGGATTCCTCCTTTTTCATCCTTATTTGACTCTGACCTACATCTCCTGTCTGTGTGTGGATTTCAGTGGAAATCTGTTTTTCAAAGAGGATCTTGGCTGAAATCCAGATACTCCTTATACTGCTCTTCCTCTGTAGAGCTCTCCTCCTCTCCTTGTCAGCAGGAGACTTGCCTCTATTTCCCCTCCTTTCACTTTCTTTACCCTCCCCCTCTCTTCGGTGGTGTCTCTTACCCCACCTACCTTCAGTAATGACACTACCATAAAGACCCTACTGCTCCTTGTCTACCTTTCACTAGTTGCCAGTCTGTTCTCCTCAGCTCTTCCCCTTGCTAGTGCTGCTTCATTCCCCATTCTCACATCCCCAGCTACTCTGCAGTATGTTACATGCACACAAGGCTTCCTGGCATGACCAGAACAGCAGGAAAAACAGAGCAAAGAACTGGACTTGCATGAGCATCCCATCGAGATTCCACCTTGCTGCCCAGCAACTAGAGATATTCCCCTCTCTCTGCCACAGCTCCCCACAGTGGCCAGAGGAAAATCCTGGACAGCAATAAGTCTTTGCACCTAGAACCTGATTCAGAGCTCATTTACACAGGTGTAAATCAAACTAACACCACTGATATCGATGGAGTTACCCCAGTCTAAAACTGCCATATGAGAGCAGAATCACATGCCAAAAGAGTTAAATTATTAACAAGTACATTGGAAAGTCATATATACTGTCTCTCAGATTTTAAGGCCAGAAGGGACCATTAGACCATCTAGTCTGACAGCCAGTATATCAAAGGCCATTAAATTGTATCCGGTTACTCAGGCAGAAAGCCCAATAACTTGTGTTGGGCTAAAGCATATCTTGCAGCAAGGCATCCAATCGTGATATAAAAACTTCAAGAGATATTGAATCCAATGCTCCCCTTGCAGTTTGTAACAATGCTTAATCACCATCCATACGGTTAAATATCTGCTATACAATAATCTTAAAATTAATGTACACAATAGCAATCTGATAAATAATGGCGTGTATTAACACCTATGCAAACTTCCTTTTTCCTAACAAAAATCACCTTATCCTGTGGGATGCGAATGAGCCATAGACAGTTGCTGTTGTCTGGATATGCGGATGGGTAATTGATAGATGAGAAGTTGTCCTTAGGTTTATGCAGTACCTTGCTACAGCAATCTGAAGGACAAAAGAAAACAGCTGTGAAGATGTGGAGAAATCCTGCTCAAAGGAAAATCCAGGCACAGCCATCTACATTCATTATTGGCTATTATATTAATAAAATAAATTAATTGTCATGTTCACAAATGTGTCAATGCTCATCTTCTAAAAGCACTACATAATGGCAAGCAAAATAATGGCGCTACAGGTTGAAACTCCATAATCCAGACTTCCCTGGTCTGGCAACACCCTGCTCCAGCATCATTAGAGTGACTGTGGGAGCACCCATAGGGATAAGCCAGTAGGGGCAGCAGAACCACTGGGACGAGTGTGAAGCCCCCAGTCACTGGGTTGGGAGGGTGAAAGAGTGGTGCTCCCTGTCACCAGGGAGAGGATGGCAGAGGAGCCACCAGGCAGAGCGTGGAGCCCCCCCAGGTGGCAGCAGAGCTACTCAGCAGACTGAGGAGCTCCCTGGGTGGCAGCAGGACTGCTGGGGAGAAAGCAGAGCCCCTGGCCACCAGCAGGAGTGCAGACCCCCAGATGGCAGCAAAGCCCAGAAGAGTGGAGGTCCAGACAGCGGCAGAGCCCTCAGCCACTGCAGGGAGAGCAGAGCCCCGGTTGGAGAGCGGTGCCCTGGTCATCAGTGGAGCCACCGGGGGAAAAGTGGAGCTCTCTAAGGGGCAGAAGGAAAGTGCAGCCCCTTCTACTTTGACCTCCCCTGGTCCAGCAAGTTCCCTGGTTCAAGACCAGTCAGGTCCCAAGGGTTCTGGAGTAGGGAGGTTCAACCTGTAGTAAAATAGACGGAAATTAGCAGCTGTCGTGCAGTTTCTTAATTAAGATTACAGTACACAGCATTTGGGGCACTTACTGCAGCTATAGAGCTTGTTGATTTTAGCCACGTCAAGATTACTCAGCCCTTCTCTCTGGCCAATGTGTACAGAGGGATCAGGAATCGGTACAATAGTGGCTTTCCCAGAGACGTTAGAGAAGTCATATCTGTAGAAGCAGGGGAAATCACGTATCTTAGTCAAACTCCCTTGAAGTGCTACATTTGTATGAGTGTGAAAAAAAATTGTAACTAATATCTGCCTCAGATTGTCAAGAGCATTCACCAGTCTCTCAGGAGGAACACTGAGGCAGCAGCTTTGTGTCCAGCCACACTGAAAGGGGAGAATATGTTGTCTGAGGGATGATTCCTTCAAACCTTTCAACACAGAGTGAACTCTATGCCCCCAACCAGAATGCTCTGAAGAGCAAGGTTACTGTCTCGGCTCCTGATTCTTTGAATATTTTAAACTGCTACTTGCTGTCTCTTGCCTTCAGCTAGACAAGATTTCTTTATCATAATTACTGGTTTGCTTTGGGAAAATGCTCAGAAATTTGCAGCCTGTGAGTGGAAATGTGGGGCAAGGTGCCTGCCACAGGTTTATGTGTTAAGGGCTAAACTGTAAAATTAAAGCCATAAGCCAAGATAATAGACGTAGTACACAACATCCTCAGGATGGAAGAGGAATTCTCCTTGTCTTTCTACATACTGTTGTAGAAGCGAATGTGATCTCATTAAAAGCCCAGCCCTAAGAATGCTGCAGAGACTGGCTTAGAGGACAGACTGGGTAGTGACTGACCTCGGGTTATGGCTTTATAAGGTCTTTACTGTAAGAGATGACAGTTCAGGGCAACAGCACCTAGATTCCCCCTCAGTCCACCAAGGGCACTGACTGCTCTTGAGCTGTTGCCTTCACTTCTCTCTCTCCTGACTTTTTAGAATTCCCAGATTGCACAAGGCCCTGTCCTGTGTATTTCTCAGCATAGACAAGTTGCCTAATGACACCTGCTCACTTTATCTTCAGAGACAGATAAGAGATTACAGTTGTAAGGTATCATATGGCACATCCTATGCATGCCTGCTTTATTCTTATGGTAAAAAGCATGACAGAAAAATCATTAAAAACAATAGAAGAATCAATAGGCATCCCAATGGCTACGTCTAGACTGGCATGATTTTTCGGAAATGCTTTTAACGGAAAAGTTTTCTGTTAAAAGCATTTTCGGAAAAGAGTGTCTAGATTGGCACGGACGCTTTGCCGCAAAAGCACTTTTTGCGGAAAAGCGTCTGTGCCAATCTAGACGCACTTTTTCGCAAAAAAGCCCCAATCACCATTTTCGCGATCGGGGCTTTTTTGCGGAAAACTAATCTCAGCTGTCTACACTGGCCCTTTTGCGCAAAACTTTTGCGCAAAAGGACTTTTGCCTGAACAGGAGCAGCATAGTATTTCCGCAAGAAGCACTGATTTCTTACAGTAGGAAGTCAGTGCTTTTGCGGAAATTTAAGCGGCCAGTGTAGACAGCTGGCAAGTTTTTCCAGAAAAGCAGCTGATTTTCCGGAAAAACTGGCCAGTCTAGACACAGCCAATAAGTTTACCAGAACTCACTCTAACAACATGGATTCTGGCAGGAGTAGTCCTTCATCCTCCACCTCAAGGGCTCCTTGTGGTTACCAGTTCATCACAGTTTGAGCTCAGAACAAGCACACACAGTCATAGGTGGCCTCAGCAGGCCCAGTCCTTCCAACCCTACTTTCAGACTTGGGGCCCTCTGTGGACCAGAAGTGATGACTTGATTCTTGAACAAGACTGAGTCAGCATAAATCCAGGCTATTTAACCCAAAGTCTCTTTTTGGTCTATTGGAGCCTGGAGAATCCAGTTTGACCTAGTATATGTAAACCTTTCCAGGGCATAGCTTCAAAAGTTGGCTTTGGAGGGGAAAATTAGTATTCTATAATTAGCATTCTCAGTTATTTTCTAGGAAATCCACTTCACATGCATTTTGCCAAAAAAAGTCCTTTGAAGTGCCACATAATCCCACAATAGTACATAAATAATTACATTTTTAATGCAATGAATTCAAAATATGTAAAACTTAGTCCAGTAAGATTCAAATTAATTCCATAAAGTTCATTTGGTTCATTACATGAAATTGTCATAGGTATGAATTCAGTGAGAAATTTTGTTCCTCCACTGTCTTTCTCTTCCAGCCCTATCCCTCTCTATCTTTGCCAGGACTAAATCAGACAATAAGTATAGATTCTCTTAGCCATGAGTGCTTTCACATTTTTAAGATAGAGATATAAATTTCAGCGTGAGGAGCTGTACCACATGTGATCAAGTGCGTGTGCTAAAATTAATGTATCCACAGCAACAGGAAGACTAGCCATCCTTGGAGTCCCAGAGAGGAGTGCACTCAGGGCAGCTAGCCCCTCTCGAAGCTCTAGCCACAAAGGCTATATTTCTCTTTTCCTGTGCTAGCTTGATCAGCGCTACCATGGTATGTCTCCTCAAGCTAGAATTTATACCTACAGACATACCTGAAATGAATAGCAAAAGCCATTCCTTGGAAAAAGCAATTCTATCTTCCAAGTTCAAGTGGGAGATTTGAGTTTGTTTGCATCTGTGAAAGGCAGACACAGACTCCAACTTACGCGCCATAGTGCATCACTGAGGAATAGTCATAGGGAAGGCCCAGGTTCTTGGAATTCATTTTCCCAAAGTTCCCTTGTTCACCTTTAAGGTGAGAGAGCAACATTTCAGCCACCAACACAGGATCAGGACCAGAAAAAATATTAAAGTGATACTGCAGTTCACAAAAAACTATTAGAATACGTGTAACATACATATTATCATTGGATATTCTCTTGAGCAATGATCCCACCTGGCCAATGTATAGTTTCATAACAATTTCCATCTGTCCCAGGAGCCAGGAGGAGGGGAGTGAAAGGCTGCTGTAGTTTACTATGATTTTTTTCTCGGTATGCTGTTCCCTTTTATTAAACAGCAGATATGAAAAGTACCTGAGCATCAGCAGTTTATATAGAAGGTCAAAACCATGTGAGCAATAAATCCTTTGACTTTCTCCAGCACCCTCCATTCATGGATCTTAAAATACCTTTACACACATTAATTAATGAGTACAATTCCATTTTACAGGTGGAATAATTGTGGCACAGAATAGCTATAGTCAAAATTTTCTCTTAAATTGTAACATTTATCACACTCATATTATATTGACTTCAAAGAGATGAAGATGTTCAGGCCCTTTTAAAATAAGGACACTTTTTCAGGTACCCAAATGTGGGTTTTAATGCCTGACGTCAGACACCCCCAACTTAATATTTTGGCCTAAGTGACTTTCTCAAGGTCTCTCAGGCTGTCAGTGGCAGACCCAGAAATAAAACCCAAAGTACGTTTGTTGTCAAGCACAAGATCATTCTTCCTCTAATGGTAAACTGCCTTGAGTCACACACAACATTTATAGAGAAAAACTAAAAATGAAAAAGTGGATACATGATAAAACAAGGTTTTTTTAGCTGACTGACGAGGCAAACATGTAAACAATAATATATAATTTGGAGAGTCTTCTGGAGGGAGGCAAAAGAGTACCTAGGGGCCCACTCAGTAAAACATTTATGCATATGCTTATCCAAACACATTAAAGTCCATCTGTGTTCAGCAGTGCATTTAAGCAGGTGATTAATGTTAAGCACATGGTAGCTGTGGTGGTAGCTTTGCTGTGGTGGGGCCCCAGAATCTAAACACAATGAGCAAAAAGAGTGAGCTAAAATATAAATTCTGGCCTAAAACGCAGAACAGTATCTTGTATTCAGAAGAGACTGGGAGGGGGGAGGAAGCAAGTTTCAAGTATCTGAGTAGACAGCCACAAAACAGCAGGCAATATGTTGTCAAAACAAAGAAATGGGAAATCTTCCAAGGTGAACTGTAAGGTTAAAAAAAGCAATACTAAAACCCTAGTTAAAAATAGGAGGTGGGAAAGCTGGGAAGTTGCAAAAAAAATCTCAGAGCATGATACTGTATGTTTGAAGTCAATGGGAATTCTGTTTCTGAAATCCATGGGAAAAGGATGAGGCCTTCTTCAGAGCTTGTCTTCAGGTCGGGGAAGGGTATGTGGCTTGAAAGTTTGTCTCTCCTGCCAACAGACTTTTTTCCAATAAAATATATTATCTCCCTCCCCTTGTCTCTCTAATATCCTGGGACTGCTTATGACACTGCATGCTAATTAATTTCTGTGTCATTTTCATGACCCAAAGAAGAGTTAAGAAAACTAACTACAAAGACCTGTGAAGCCAGCTGCTTTAATTTCTTTCTCTCTCTGGGAAACTCCAGGGCTAAATCCTTTCTTTGTGTTAGCTTTGTCCTTTTCACAGTGTGCAGGTTGGTTGTCCTTTCATGATGAGTCCTGTTTCAGATTTCATTTATGTTAGTGTAAATGTGAAGTAATTGCATTTAAGTTAGGGGGTTGCACCAGTGGAAAATGGGTGGAAATTAAATGACCACAAAATCCTCTGCCATTATATAAATGGCAAATAATTATAGTATCTTGTTAGTGAGGGTCTCTGACATCTAAGCATGAGACAATGCAATTGAAATTTACTCAGGATAATGTGGGAATGGCTGAAAATTTTGGGGCGCAAACTGTTTTAGGGTCTGGTGAAGGAAATGTGATTATGTCCCACTCAGAGGGAAAAGCCTGCATATTTCACTGTGTGTCTAAGAAGGAAGAATCAATAATACATTTGCAGCAGAGCCGGCCCAAGCTATGGGCTGACCGGGCTACTGCCCAGGGCGCCCTATTGTAGGAAGTGCTGTGCGGGGCTGCCGGACTGGTGGGGGAGAAGCTGTGCATGCGCCAGGCACCCAAGGGCGGGGCCGCTCATGCGCTGGGTGCCCGGCATCGCGCATGCAGTACACGCCCAGGCGCCCGGCATCGCGCATGCAGTACACGCCCAGGGGCAGCTCCACGCTCCTAGGGCGCACGAATGGCTCAGGCTGGCCCTGATTTGCAGGAGTTATTTGTCAGTATTAGGGATTCTGTTCTCTAGTCCCATCTATTGTCATGTAATGTTTAGAAAATATTTTTGAAAATGTAAAGAATTAGATAAGCATTATGATTATTACCACAACCACCACACACCCTCAGACCTACCTGCCAGAATGTATTCCCACATGATTTTAACATAGTCATCCCGGTCACTCCGGGCCTGTTCATGTAAAAAGCCCAGTGCATGGTTCATTTCATGCTGAATTGCTCCTTTACTCATGCAGCCAGTTTTCATCAGGACCACCTGCTGCATACCTCCAATCTTTCCAAAGTGAGACCAGCAGCTGAAAGGAACATGCAACCAATAACTGAAGATGTCATATGTGATAAGCTAAAGTCCCAGAGCTGAAAAGCAATGTAATCAATAGTGCAAACAAAAAGGCAATGTCTATACTGCAGGCTTTTTGCACAAGAACAGCTGTCTACACTGCACGCGCATTCTTGTGCAAGTAAATTTATAGGAAAGTGTTGGAAAACAAGGCTTCTTGCACAAGAGTTATTCCTCTCCCCACAAGGAATAAGCCGTCTTGCACAAGAGCTCTTCCACAAGAAGGCAGTGTAGACAGACAACAAGAGTTTCTTGTGCAAGAAAGCCCTATGGCTCAAATGGCCATCAGAGCTTTCTTGCACAAGAGAGTGCCCACACCGCCATGGGCACTCTTGCGCAAAGCACATCTCTTGTGCAAAAGCACATGGCAGTGTGGACTCACTCTTGCACAAGAGCTTTTGCACAAGAACTCTTGCGCAAAACAGTTATTGTACAAGAAGCCTGCAGTGTAGACATAGCCAAAGAGAAAAATTAAAAATTATATGGCAAGTCACTCTCTTAATCTCAGTTTCCTGGAGTTTAATATCAGCTGAGATTATTTTAATCCAGAACAAGTAGGAAAGAAAGAAAATTGAAGAATATGTTAGGCAATTAGCCATGTTCCCAGTCACAATAAGGACTAATGAAACTGACCTCTCCCCAGGTACTATGCTTATGTAGTTGGTTTCTGTTGTCCGATTTATAAACTGGACACAAGTCAGGGTGGTAAACTCTTGCATGGCTTCAATAATCCAAGTCCTCTCTTCTATGGCTAGGAAGAAAAGGGGAAGTACATAATGATGGTATTTTGGTTATTTGCTGCATGGGACAAATGAGTCTATCCCACTAATCTCTGAACCAAGTTGTTATTTTTCTATTACAGAAGTCAAATTGAATATGCAGAAGGTTAAGGGATCTTTAAAATTGATTTGACTTTCAAAGGTAGCAGTAATAATTATACTTATCACTTACATATTTTGCCTTGCACTACACAGGCAGTGAAAGGTAGGTAGGTCTGCATTATTATCTCATCTCCATTAGATAGATGGAGAAACTAAAACAAAGGCTAAGGCCAAAATAGTCACTCTTTGGAGGTGAAAGTTAGACAGATGACTCTATATTTAAGCATCTAAATAAAAGCAGCTTGTTTATTACCAATCTTGAACACCTGCAGCTTCCACTGAAGTCACATGAAACAGGAGGTGTTGAGCACTGCTGAAAATCAGAGCATTATTACTCAGTGCCTAAATATGCCTTTCAGTGGTTAACTTTATTGGAAACTTATGGCTTCGGTTGCCCCCTCAATTATAGCCCATTTCTCAAAACTGGTCCCATAATGCTGTGCATCAGTTTCTCTATCTGGAACATTACATTAAATAACCCCTATCTAGCCACAAGACTGTTGTAAAATTAAAGTAATTTCTGAGCACAGTCTTGCTGCTGCATAGTCTGCCCCATTGCTAGAGCCCTGCAAATCCGGGGATATCCGCTTTATATCCATGGCATCTGCATCCATGGATCTAGATCTGGATATCCATCGCTCGTTTTTGTGGATATGGATGCAGCTGCGGATACAAATTTTGTATCCATGCAGGGCTCTACCCATTGCCCCTTGGCTGAAGATGGGGTTCTGCAGGTCCAGGGATATGTGAGTAGGAAAGGGATGAGGAATATGCGGGATGGTTTAGGGAGAAGGGGATGCATATTGTCTATCCTGCCCCTTCTCCCGATGGTATCACAATGATTCCCAAGAAAAGTTAACCCAGTCTGTGTTAAATTTCCATGCCTCTTCCCCTGAAAGTGAGAGTAACTCTTTAAGAGGGAGTCCTCAAGGAAGTCACTGGTGCTTGCAACCCAGGCAGTGTGTCTACAAAGTATTCAATCTGCAAGGGGGCAGGATGGTGTAAATCAGGGCTTGGTAAGGCACCAGTTCTGCAGCCTGTTTCACTGACTGACTCCCTGATCCAAACAAAATAATTAGGAAGAAATCTCTCCAGGGAAAACCTAAGGGAGATTGCTGTTGTCTTTTCCTTTTCTGCACCATTTCCCACAGGAGAGGACAAGCGGGCCTTACTATTGGCATGGCTCTTTTTTGAGACACTTCTATGGAAACTAGTATGTGTGTTCAAAATACTTATTACTAAAATAATAATATATAAATACAAATATATTCACTGAAGTAACAGATTAGATGCTTTATTAGTTCCATAGGTGTTAAATGTCAGTAAATAAAGACTCATATACATGAAGCCACTGGTATTTATGTAATTAAATACTGTCAGTACTGTTAACCACACCTTTAAATATCTCCTTTACTAAATTATATAGCGTTTTAGCCAAACTGTCCTAGGAAGAGCAATGAGAAAAATAACATTCATAAAGGCTGCCTTGGGTTAAAATCACTTTTGATACATGATACAGAGATATTGTGACATAATCTTAACACCAAATTATGAAGCTTTATACTAATTTCACAGGTACATTTATAAGTGACTTACAGCTTCATAATTTGGTGTTAAGATTTATGCTAATTTCACAGGTACATTTATAAGTGACTTACAAAATTCTGTGGAAACATTAACCGGGACATTGACTAGCCCATCTTGGGACTTAGGCCAGAAGCAGCGGCTGTCACAGTTTATGACGCTGCGTTTTCTTCGCAAGACAATATCACCCTCATGCAGAATTGTATCAGTCTCTGGGCAGATAAAAGAGAGAAAGAGAAAGAGAAAATAATGTACTGGACGTGGGGGACAGGGTGATTTTTTTCGAAGGCACAAATGGGAATTTGGCAGCCTACTCCCAATGATATTTAGTGTGTGTTAGACACCTATCTGCCCTTTGTGTCTTAGAAAATATCCCCTGAGTGAGAGGCTATTTCTAATAATCTGCAAAAGGATTAGTAAATGTATTTGTGTGGAAAATAAACCATAATGTTCTGAGATGGGTCAGGCCTTCCTGACTCCCAGTGAAGAAAATATGTTAACCAGTAGGCCTTTGGGCTCTTTTAATCAATGACAGTCTGTCATATGAATGACCGCTTGTATATTTACTAAAGGAGCTTTGGAATCCTTCAGGATGAAAAGAGCTGTGGAAATGTGGGACATTTCCTTCATTGGGACATGCAGAGTGAAAGAAAAGTCATAGTTAACGTCCAGAAAGATTTGCCAACTACTGTGTTCAAGGAGATTATTCAGTGTGCACCCCTAATTAGTCTCTAGATTAACTTGTGAAGTATCACATGACATCATAATATGCTCCCCAACTCTGTCTTCCAAATCTCCACTGCTATTCCTAGCAAGTGTTTCTCATGGGCAGTAACTATATATTATTGCACCAAATGTATAGGTAGTTTTGTGTCTGCCAACAAAGAAGTGACAATGTCACACAGGAAAGAAATGAAAGATAAAAGGGAGCATGTGGAGGGGAAGGTAGGCACAAAAACCAAAATTCAGCTCTGGCATAAGCAAACACATCTCCCACTTATGTTGAAGGGAGCTGAGCTTGCTTGCATTAGGACAGAGTCTGTCCCAGCATCAGACAGCCAGGATGGAGATCATTTCTATAAAAAGGATGAAAAGATTCTGCTTTCTTCTTATACTGGTCATATTCATTGGCAAAATAGCATTATTTATAGTAATGATTCAGTAATGAATTATTTCTTTATCATATCAACATAAATCATCACATTGATATGAGTTTCAAAGAACATAAGAATGGTCATACTGGATAAACAAAAGGTCCGTCTAGTCCAGTATCCTGTCTTCAGACAGTGGCCAATGCCAGGTGCCCCAGAGGGAATGAACAAAACAGGTCTTCATCAAGTGATCCCTCTTCTATCACCCATTTACAGCCTCTGACAAACAGAGGTTAGGAACACAACTCCTAACCATCCTGGCTAATAAGCATTGATGGATCTAACCTCTATGAATTTATCTAATTCCTTTTTTGAACACAGTTAAAGTTCTATTCTTCACAACATCCTCTAGCAAGGAGTTCCACAGGTTGACTAGGTGATGCATCAAGACATAGTTCCTTTTATTTCTTTTAAACCTGCTGCCTATTCATTTTATTTGGTGACCCCTAGTTCTCAAGTAACATTTGTATTCACTTTCTCCATACCAGTTATAATTGTATAGACCTCTACCATATCCCCCCTTAGTCTCCTCTTTTCTAGGATGAAAAGTCCCAATCTTTTTAATTTCTCTTCATCTAGCAGCCATTCCAAACCCCTAATCAGTTTTGTTGCCCTTTTCTGAACTTTTTCCAATGCCGATATATCTTTTTTGAGATGAAGCAACCACATCTATACGCAGTATTTAAGATGTGGGTGTACCATGGATTTATAAAGAGGCAATAAGATATTATCTGTCTCATTCTCTATCTCTTGCTTTATTTTTACTGTTTCTGCATAGTGAGTGGATGTTTTCAGAGAACTATCCACAATGACTCCAAGATCTCTCTCTCGGGTGGTATTAGCTTCCTTAGTCCTCATCATTTTGGATGTATAGTTGGGAAACAACTAGACTTGAGATAACTGGACTTGTTTTCCAGGGCCCACAGCTAGGTATGGACACGGAGGATTATTTGTAAAGTGATAAACAAAATTAGGGTCAACATTTTCAAGACTGAGTTCTTAAAACTGAACTGAAATTATACTAGTAGCCTAACCTACAGAGGTCCTGAGCAACTGCAGCTCCCATTGAAGTCAATGGGATCTGCAAGTGAGATTAATCACCTTAGAAATTCTCCACAATTACTTATATTTAGGGGCCTAAACATTGATTCATAAGATATTCAGATCTGAAAATTTCAGCCTATGGGTCCTGTTCTCCTCCCAGCTACAGCACTGTAAATCAGAGGTAGTTCTTGTGAAGTGATAGGAGTTATGCTAGAATAAAACTTGTATTGTAATAAAGTGGAAAATCAGGCCTGAAGTTCTTGAGTGTATGGAGTATAAAGGACAACCTTGCCCCCTAAGAATCCCGCGTAATCTGTAGAATACAGTAGTTAAAATCAAACTCACCTGTGTCATTATGTCTTGTGGCTATCTGCAAAAGGAAAGGAAATCTTTTAGTATGCACACGTGCCATCAAAAGAAAACTGTTATCAGGCAGAATCACAACAAACTCTGTGTTATGCTGAAATATCATAACTTATTTTCAGACAGGCCAATTAGCAGAGATGCAAAGTTTAAACTGCCGTGGCAGTATTGAACACACCTGGACAGGTTTACCTACTGCAAAGTTATAGAAAAATGCTAAAAGGGCTGACAGTGGAATAAGGTTCATCCTCAAATTTTTGAGCAAATCCTCTATGTCCAGGAGCTCTGTTTCCCAAAATCCCTTCTAGTTTTCTTGAAAGATGTTTTTATAAGAAAGCTGCTGCTTTTAATAAGTGGACCAAACTTAGAAAACATGATGTATTTTCACAGAATAAACAAGCTGCGTGAATTCCCAGTAGAGTTGCAGACTTTCATTGCACACGTATTTATCTTTAGAAAATAGAGGAAGTGGTGCAATAGGAAAGAAAATATAATAACCTTTAGATGATTTAAGTTTGACTCTGTAAGGATCCCATGAGCTGCTGTAGTGTTCTGTCACCCCCAACGCAGGTCTGGGAATCTGCACAGTGAAGAGCAGGGAGTGGGTAAGTTTGCCTTTGGGAAGATGGGCATTTCTTCCTCCCCCATGAAAACACAATTGGAGCCTTGTTGTTGGGGAGATGGGACAGAACCACAGGGAAGCCAGAGTCTCTGCATCAAGAGCCCATTACTCCAGAAGATCCTCAAGATCTTCTAGTTTTATGGACAAGATCCCTTCTTCTGTATGGGGGTCATCTCTACCTCTGACTGCCCATCAGAGAAGAATTGAGAGGCAGCACTGTGAGGAATATCTCATATTTTCCTTCCTCTGGACAAGCCATTTCCAGGTAGGGGAATGATCTGGCCCTGCCAGCCAAACTCCCACTGAAGTGAAAACAAAACCAGATACTTTTCTATTTGTGAATTTGTGAGGGGAGTTTGACATCACGCTTTAAACTTACTAAAATATGATTAATCCTATTTGCATATTTCTCTGAATTGCAAGGTTACTTATGCTGTGGCATTTTCCATATAGTGCGTATAATAACACTGATAGGCAGACACAAAGACACGGTAACTGAAGACAGCTACCTGAATGGAAGTGCTCCTCAGTTTGCTGCTCTAGTAGTTGGAGAGCCTCTCAAGAGGCAGTAAAGCCCAGAGCTCCATCCACACTATCTACTGCAGATCAGACTCAGGAACCACATTTCTGCAGCTGCAAATCACAAAATGACTGGGGGAGCCAGCGGCAAAAGTTATTAAATACCAAAAATATGGAAAACAAAAGACCACCATGTAGAATGTGCATATGGGTTACTCATCTGAGTGTACATCAAGGAGGCCTGGAGGGGATCTTTGAAGTTCTGCCATGGAATTTTCCATCCTCATTCTGTGGAATGCTGTTCATAACTCTTTACCGGCTCCAGTTGCAGACCACGGGTCAGATTCATCCCAGAAGTCAAGGGAGTTACATCATGAATTAATTTGATTGGTTGATGGCTACATAGAATCAGAGACATCTACAGGCTAATCAGTGACCCAAAGTCTCGTGTCACCTGCTACTCTAGTACAGCATGGATAAGCATCTCTCAGAAGTGAATTTCTTTCTGGTACCATCTGTTTGTCTGCAGCAATCTACTTTAATATTCTGACATAGTAATTTAAAAGCTGGGTTTCATTACATGCCCAAGCAATGTGGCTACACAACTGTAGTTTGTTACATTATCTTCCCTTCCCTCCCTCTCTTTTCTCTCGTCTCTATTGCTTCATGATTCTTTCTTTTTAGCCATATAGACCTTGATCTGATGTAAGTATTATCATTGTTCCTCCTTAGTAACTCTGGCATACTGTTAATAATGTTTCTGTATTATGTAAAATATTAGAATTGTATTTGCCCTTATAAAACTGGAATCAGTTTAACTCCTCCCCTGTTTAGATTTCTGCTTCTGTAAGCAGAGAGCCTGTAGGCTCTAATATAAACTACTCGTTCTGGAAGGGAAAGCCAGAGCCTACACATGTTCACAACCCTGAGAGAAATTGCTAGGAACTTAGGCTTTCTCTATACCCGGGGTTTACAGACTGACTCCTGATAAGAACCCAGTGGAGACCCATCACTCTGTTAGGATTGCCAACTTTCCCAACTGGTGGGGAAACTGACGCACTCTAGCCTTCCCTCCCACCCTCCACTTTGAGGCTTGAGCAGGACATTGAGGCAACCAACAAAGGGTTAGCTCAGCAAGGAGCTCAGCTAGGGGTGATAGTCACACCAAGAATTTGGAGTCTAACTTCCTATAGAATAATCATTAGTGAAGTTCCCCAGCCAAACATCCCAATAACTACAGGAGAAGTATCCCAAAGCAACTCATGTGAAATCCCCACAAAATTAAGCACAGTTTTATCATTTCATCCGCCTCATCTAATCCGGTCCCAAAGTTGTTATCTCTCCCAGTTTGAAGCAGAAGCATAGGGCCCCTTATTGGTCAGACAAGAAGAAGGCAGACACAGTCAGTGCTCTCCTTGACAGCGCCCTCCCTGTCTTACAGTTCCCATTGGCTTCGTGCAAATTGTGCATGAACATTTTACTCCCTAGTTTACCAAATTCATGATTCCTAGATCCCATAAGCTATATATCATTTGCAAAATGGCCACAAAAACATTTTGCCAAATGTCAGGTTCATCTGCCCCTGAAATTGCTGGTGACACCTAGATAATATGAACTTTAGCGCTGGACGCAGGTTTAAATCAAATAAATTATCTTACAGACCTACATACCACAATGAACTTAACACAGACATTGGTTCCCCTGGAAATAGTTGACATTATGGTAGAAAAACAATGACTAGGTGTTGTGTATCTGTAGGGAGATAAATGTACATTGGTTTCAGGCCACAGCTTGTTAAAGAGGCTTCATTAATACAATTTTAAAAAGGGGCTTTGTGAAAGCCAGAGCTCTTGGTACTTGTGCATTTCAGTGAATGTTTCTGGTATGGTCAGCGTGGTGGTTTCAGTGACACTTGGGTTTTCTTCTGAGGTTTGAGTTTATACTTCCTCCAGAACAGGGCCATGCTTAGGATTTATCGGGCCCTGCACAGTATTATTAAACTGGTATCCTTATGCCCAACTTGCTCTTAGCAACAAAAACATAAGCATACGGTATTGGAAAATTTACCACATGCACTTTATTAAAAACAGTTTAAACAAATTAGGCACACTTTAATGCGGATGAACAATACAGATGCTGCGGCAGCCTGGGGGATTCCGAGCCGTGCAGCTTACCTCATGGTGGTGTGGGGTCACCGGTCCTACAGAGACCCCCACTCCCCCTCTCTCATGCAGGATGTGCTGCACCGGCTCATTCAACTCTGTGCATACAGCCCCCGCCAAAGGAGACTGCAGCGCACGCTGGGGTGCAGGAGCCAACCTACTCTTACCTGCTCTCAGGTTTAAAGCTATGGTTCCTCTGTGGCCCTTTGCTGAGCTGCATGTTGCTGAGGGTGCTGGATGTGCCCTGATCAAGGTGCTGTGTGCACCTACTCTCCCCCACCTTCTCCCTTCCAGTCAGCTGAACTTCCACTTTCCAATCTACGCACACCCAGATAACCTTACCAAAGGTGAGTGGGAGGGAGGAGAAGAGGCAAGCAACTGGCTGAAGCTCCGCGATGGCAAGCAAAAGCTCCCACTTCCCAGCAGCAGAGGATGGTGGTGCCTGCGCACAGTAGGACCCTCGCTCGTGCAATGAGTTGCATGTGCCTTTTCTGAGGGAGGCAGGGCTGCCGCTGCCCGCCAGATGCAGCCATCCGTTCCTTTGGCTGGGCAAGCACTGCTCAGCAGTCCTGGAGAGCTGACGAGGCTCCACTTTGGCGAGGCTGGGGCAGGACGCCAAGCTGGTTGGGAGGAGTGCCCGGCGCAGCTCCTCAGCTGCCCTCCTCCCCTGTCACCTGTGCTCCAGGAGACATTGTGGCTCTGCAGCCCAGCACCAACTCTGCTCCAGAACACATTCATCACCCCTCCTCTCCCAGGGCAGCCATGGGACGCCTTTGGCAGGGTGCAGCAGCCCAGCCAGGCCACACACACTCTCAGCTCAGTGGGGCAAGTTACAAACCACCCCTTGGAAAACTGCAGAGTGGGGAAAACTTGGCATGTGGAGCCATCACGTGCTGCACCCATGAGCCACTCTCCTCCTGCCTTTCCCAATCTCACCTGTGGTTTCCCCCTCAGCTACTCCAAGAGTTCCCTGCTCCCAGTGCAATCCCACTCCACCCTGATAGCCCAGCCAGGGCAGCACAGCCTCTTGCTTTCCCTGCCACAATGGAGGCAGCTCAGTGGTGCTCCAAATTTTTGGGTGTCCCACGCAGCCACATACGCTGCACATGCCTAAGGATAGTCCTGCTCCAGAACTGAAAATGAAATTCAGAGACAAACTACTGACCGCAGCAGATTCCACAGGCTATGTCACAACTTAACTCCCTCATGGCCTTCTCAAGACACACTTCTTTTTTACCTTCAGCCATCTTATACTGTACATGTTTCCCTCATTTGGCTCTTCAGCAGGCAGCTGGCAGATCCCCCTACTTAATTCTACTCTGCAGCATTGTTTAGAGGAGGAAGCAGTCACTCACCACCTCTTTCTGTGGCAGTGAGACCAGAAAATTCCTCCACATATCCTTCTCTATGGCCATTCCTTAAACTCTGGGCTAAGTGTCAATCCAGAGTTCATCGGAGTAGAGGGAAATTTCCAATGGGCAGTCCTCAGTTCTTAGCAAATGGCACAGGAGGAATGTTGGTAATGTGGGCCCATTGGTTGGCCTTTCTTTCCAAGGTGACAAAAAAGATGGTGGGCTAGCAGGCTGGATGGGGAATTCCAGAACTTGAGATTATGGGGACTTTGCACAGCAGATGACTATAGGTAATGGGGGTGCCAGAGGCTTGTTAGGGGAAATTGTGGGGAGGAGGTTCCTGACCCAAATCAGCTGGTTTCAAAAGATCTCCCAAGTGAGGTGAAACTCCCCTATTTTTTATTTTTCTGCCCTGACTGGAAATTTCCAGAGGTTCATTGAGCCTCAACAGGAATGTTCTTCAAAGGCAATTTTTACCTTGTAAGTAGTATTGTTACCAGTAATGAGCACATCTCTTGGTTAAAGGGAGGGTTTATTATTATTTAATAGCCTAGTGCAAATGCTTTGTAACAGGTAGAGATTTTTGAGACTGGCTGCACATATAGAAGTTTTCTGAAGGTCTGCTTTGGTGGCTTCTGTAC